TATTTCTGTCATTTACAGTGCTATTTTCTACCTGTTTATCAGTAACATTAGGGTGAAAAATTTTGCTGTGCCATGGTTTGCATGAGACATTGCCCAATATGAAGAAATTTTAGGGTACAGGACAGAAGACAATAGTATCAACATGCTGAGCTAGAAGCAGGAACAAGAAGAATCAGAAAAAAAAAATTATAAACTGCACTGACTATGAAGTTAGAAGAGAATAGACTATTTCAGTTGGAAGGGACCAGCAGCGATCATCTAGCCCAACTACGTGACCGATTCAGGGCTGACCAGAAGTTAAGATGATGCCCTTAATAAGCATGTTATTAAGGGCATTGTCCAAATGCCTCTTAAAAACTGACACGCTGGGGCATCAACCACCTCGCTAGGAAGCCTGTTCCAGTGTTTGAGTTCTTCAGTTGTTCTTACAAAAAACTCATGTAGACAGAGAGCTAGAAGACCGGGGGGATTTCGTTAGACATTAAAAAAAGAGCAGACTTCATGAGATTAGCACATACCTTCTGTCTGTTGAGCCTCCTGGGGCTTTCTCTCTTTAGGTTCTAGAGGCTCCGTTTCAGATCTCAATTCTGTAGACTGCTTTTTTTCAAAGCTGAAGTCTGGAAGTCGTGGAGCCTGAGGTCTAGTTTTTCTTGCAGGATTCAAGAAAAAGCAGTAGGCACACCTAAATGCTACACAAAAGCACACTCAGTAATTAGCCTCACTAATTAATTTCACATTTCACCTTTATTCCTACACTACATTCTGACTGTCCAGAATACTAAAAACAGAGAATTAAATAAGTGGCTATCAGTACCTGAGAGTACCTCCATCAAATGTACACAAGCTGTTCCATATTTTTAACTTCAGCATATATTTGCTTCTTAAAAACCTGTTTGCTTTCAGCTCTGCTGCACTTAGAAGTACTGCCCACCACTGTGACTTGATCACAATGAACAAGATAATGCAATTCAGTACCACAAGATGTTGCCACATGGTGTTGTTCTATTTTTTCCTACAAAAAAATTAAGGTGGCAGATTATTTGTTTTTATGATGCCACTTTCCTCACCCTTTGAGTAAGGGGATGCTATGGATTCTGCAAGGTATGTCTCACTCTTGCTTTCTGAGGAGCAGAATGCTCCTCAAAATTTCTTACTGAAAAGGCAGTTTTGTTCTGAAGAAGTACTGGACACCACTTAATAGTTAAATGCATATTTCCTCCCCCAAGACAAGGAGGGAAGTGGCAATTTCTTGCACAGCTGAATTGTGAACTCACTTGAGCCAGGATGACACATTGATTATATATCTTTGGTTCCACAGGAAATGTTCAGCTTGTTGTTACAATGCTGTGTATTTACTTATAAAATTAAGCGAAACAAAAAGAGAGAAGATTTATCTAAGATTCCCTCATTTCTTAAGCATCAGGCTTACACTTGTGGTAGAAAGGAGGCAAAATAAAACATCTGTGTTCAATAAAGGGCTGTGTCTGTCTTAAGTTATTGTCAGCCATAAATTCACATATAGCCCCCTAGGGCTTGTTCCCACTCCTTTTCTGATACCTCCCCAAGATCTTCTTGCCAAAGCAAAATTTTGTTTAAGTTCTGGTAAAAGAGGCACACTTTAATGTCAGATAGTTTCTCAATATAAAACCCTTCTGAGAACCATTCATAGCCAGTAGCAATTCTCAGGGATGTATTGGAAGAGGCTTATTTCTACTGAATAGTTTTCTACACATAAAGTCCTTGGCCTGGAGGTTGCAATAAAGCACTTCTCTAAGTCTTCAAGTGAATCTTAAGGTACAGGCTAATAAGTTACCGTAAAACCGTTCCCATATGAAGTGGCATTTCACATTGTCAGTTAAGTACTTAACTGCAACCAAAATGAAGTATGATGCATGCTAGTTAAGAAACATAAGCCAACTACTAGGAAGTCTACCACAGATTAGCTCTTACCTATGTATTCAAACTCCTCCTTCAAAGCCATACCATTGTGAGAAAAACATTGCTGGCATATAAGGGCGTACCTAAAAAACATGAATAGTACATAATTACATAACTATAAGTAATAACACACTGGAGTGAGACGTACTTTACCTTAGATAGTCACTAATAGCTTAGATATTTACTCTTAAAAGGCAATTTCCACAGTGAAATAATTATTCGTTAATGCAAACTAAATCCAAATATTAAATAATAGTTTTTAAAGTTGGTTTAAAAACAGTGAAATATTCTTAGCTACAATTTAAACCTCACGGTTCAACATATTTTTAATATATTCATTGCCAGAAAATAACATCCAAATTAAGTTTATATTTCATTAGAATACACCCAATATGAAAAGCGACCACAGTTAACATGGAAGTTCTAATAAATTTGGACAGCTCTGAAGACAATCTCAAAGCCCTTATAATGATAATGAAGCTGAAATGCTAAGGTAATAAATTTTGGGCCTTTTTTTTTTTAGTTCAAAATATAATTCATTCACCCACTTGAGCATACATTTTTCTCTTTGTATCACATGGCTAATACCACCCAAAGCTAAGGTTAATTTTGTCAAAATATTACCATTTTTCCTACAAAGAGATTTCAGGTGAAGCACTGAGAAAGGGCCATTTCATTATGAACATTTCAGACAAATTAACTTGCAATTCTTTTACCCTTGATGCATCTGTCTTTAAAAAAAAAGGTTAAGAAGCTTCCTAAGTGCTTAGGTATTTCCTTTAGCAACATTTTACCTGTTCTGAGGACCATCACCAACCAAATATTCAATAACTCTGTCCACGACTCCTCTTTCTCGAGGAAGAATAGGTCTTGCTAAAGGAGGGCCTGGAGGATGAAGACCTAGGAAGACACAAACTATGTCAAAATTATTTTCAATTCTATTTTACATAACCTGGTATTTCACTGTGCATGCTAGTATAATGAAATAATTGCACCTACTTAATATACATGCTCATATTTCTTAGTCCACTAGGAAAGATGTAAGATTTTTAAACCCACAATAGTTAAAAGTTCCTCTTCTGCTCCTTTAGCTTATCATCTTATTAAATCACTCTACTTTTACACCTTGGATATGTAATTAAACTTATAATTTCTAAAGAACTTAAGGCATCAATGGTATTTAATTATTACTCACAAATAGAGACTTTTTAAGCAAAGAAAAACTCCTTATTTGAGTTTTCTTCATATACTCTCAACTCTGCACACTTGACACTTCAAGTTTACACCAATAAATCTGGTAAAATCAATTACAACACTGAAAGAACTAAAGATGTTACTAAAGAAGCACCCACTAGTTTCCGTGTAATTACTATACCACATGAGCATGCCCTCAGTGTCTGTTCAGTCTACACGATAAACCTGTCTAGCCATTTGGCACTTCGGTAATCCCATGGTTAATGGCAAGTTGGATACTTTCAGATTTATGCTTAGTCAAAGAAGCCAGAAGGCCACTATATCAAGATAACATTTTTCATATCGCATGTGTTTAACAAACTACTATGAGAATAAAACTCCATTAAGAACAGGTAACAGCAATAGTCAGTACCACCTTTTCCACCTCTGTTTACATATGCCAGTTAAAGACCACCAGTGGCACAAACTTGCCTTTCCACAAAGTTTTAAAACATCTGGTCTATTGTGTGAGACCACTGCAAGCCGCCAATTTCCATTTACGTAGCTTTGAGTTCTTATGCCTACCTTCCTTTCCAGCCTTAAACAGAAGATGCTAGGCATAATGAGCAAAACACAGTTTGGTAAGAAACTAAGCCTGAATCATTCAGATGTGACCATTCAAATAACCAAGTATCTGAAACTTCTTCCCAAGGCCACATGTCTGGCCAAGAGACATTCTACACAAGCAGAGGAGGCATTAAGTTACAGTACTTTCAACAAGCACATAGCAGACACATAGTCTTGAATGTGAGATAATTAAGCAAGCACTTGGCAGGGGGGAAATAGGGAAGACTTAAAATGTATTCCTGTAAGACCTTCCTGAAATACATTCAAAGGCCACAAAAAGGATGTTTTGAGTAGGACAATGAACCAGTCCTTTCAGAACTCTGAAACTGGGACAAAATGGTCAGCTTCGAGCCACCTGAAGACAAAATTATGAAACCTGACAGGTAAGACTCAGTTTAACCCAATGGCAAAATTACTTGTAATAATGCAAAAGTCCTACTGAAGCTCAAGATACTTAAGAAGGTTAGGCAGAAAGAGATTCAACTAACATTAGCAGGTTTCATACAGAGATAAGCATATGGTAATCTGAGGCCATGCAAGAAATAAGTATATTTAATTCATAGAAGTAAAATTCTCAAGGCACAAAAAGTGATCAGTGTTTTCTCAGGGAAGAGTTCCGGTTTGTAGCTATTCTCTCTGTGTCCAATAAAAAAAAAAGTATACAAGAGGCATAGCTTAATGGAAAGGCTTTTAGTGACCACAGTTCAGCCTTCAATTCTCTTTTCCATTTGCTGCATGCTTCCAGTATTCTTCTTGGGAAGATATGTTTCACAGAATCCCCCATAATGCCCAATAAACACAGAGGAAGCTAAAAGATAAAACAAGCTTAAACCCACTGTCTGAAGATGCAAAGAAGGATTTTTTAAAAAATGCAAATAAAAGACTACCAATAGAGTTTGTTAGCAAATTGAACTAATTCGGATGAACATCTAATTGAAAGATACTGTGCAAAAAACAGTGGACTTCAAGCTTCTCAGAAGACAGGCTTAGCTTTCTTGTAGCACCTTAGCTGGGGACAGCACCAGGACATGCACAGTCACAGCCTCCAACACAGCTGATGCTCTTCCATGAACATACACACAGAAGTAACACATACCTCCCAAGTAGAGCAGATACACAGGCAAAGCCAACACAGAACGTCTTACAATTTGATAAGCTGATCCAAGATGGGCTTTAGGTTTAAATACAGCATTAAATGCAACTGCCAGCAATTACCATCTCCAATCATCTACCTTTTATCCTCACAGACTGGAGCAACAAAGGAAAGATCAACTTAGGGTAGAATGTGTTACATTATGGTAAACCTCAAGCTGAATGCCATGTACAGCTGACCTCCATCCACTATGGCAAATGTCAAACACTGTAGGAATCAAACGTTTTCAGCAGTGCCCTCCTGAAGTGCTGCACATGGGATGAGACTAATCTTGCCATTAAGGCTGCAATCTTTCTAACAGCACAGCCTTTCAAAACACCACTCATCAATACTGGAAAACTGACCTAAATTGACTGTCCTAATCTTTACAGGCACAGTAAAATTTGATCAGGAAATACTGCCATTTACAACCTTTCAATAAGCACAAAGAAGTTCCATGCTCAACACCAACGATTTTAAAATAAACCTCATTTTCACAAACTGAATTCAGGAGAACTCAATCAGTGAATGCATTCCAAAGTTACTCCTGTATTCTGTCAACAACCAGCAATCCAGACTAAGGAAACCCTCACAGCAACAAGGAAAAAAAATTCAGTGCAAGATAAACAGGACCTAATGCTTCATTTTATAGATTCTGAAAAAGCTGACCAGAGAAGAGTTGAAGCAAAATCTCTTTCCTAAAGCATCACAAAAACCTGAAAAAACCACCCAATACTTTCATTTAAAAAAGTGAATGCATAATGTCAGACACAGGTGTGAAGTAAAGATCTGGAGCACTGATATAAACTGCAATAAAATTAAAGATCTAGAATAATTTTGTGAATACCTAGCTAACAAACATGTATTTAGCCCTAAACTCAAAAGACCAACTTTGCATATGACCTGTATATCACCAATATATGAAACGTTTCCAGAAGTTAATAAACAAGGTAAAAATTAAATAGTTACCTAGAATAAAACATCACAACACACTCCAAGAACAACTTCAATTACCTGCCTACTAATAACTCAAACCAACCAGCTTAGTTGTCATGCTGTTATGGACACCAGTAATTAATATAAACATCAAAAGCAATCATTGTAGAAAGACTGGTCATTTCTGCAAAGCTTGGCAAACTCTCAACTACCTGCTGGTTATTAATTTTCAAACATATGGGAGCTCTGTGGTAATACATGTTAAATTGATTCTCCTCTACAAAATATAGTATAATGAAAATGAATTATTAATCTTCTCTAAAGTAGAGATAATTAAGGCTATTCATATTTGTTGTAAGCCATGCATAAATTTAGATGCAATGATATTACTCTTATACATACTGAATTTATATACTCTTCACTACAGCTACATGACAGAATTTATATGCCTGGAAGGTTTGGGGAAATTCAAGAGAAAATAGGGCTTCCACATTAACTGACAATGCAGTGGCTTCATCGCTATCTATGACACTTTTGGTCAAAATACCGGTTATTAGTGAAAAAAATGTGCCTATAAAGCATTATCACAAAAACTACATTAAATATTTTAATTCACAGGCTTGGCAACTGTCCTTTCAAACAAGTCCATTAACTTTTTTTTTTTTTTCATTCTTCCTCTAAAACATTTCTGCAGTAACAGCTGAATTTCATCCAGCTGCCTGGATGAATCTTCCTGCCTGAATCTTCCCCTAAGAATAAAACTATTATAAAGCTGATATTGTTTTATTATATAGCCAGCTTCTTAAACAAGAAGGAGCATCCGATTTTAAACTCAATATGGAATTTTCAGTAAACAGGTTTTTGTAAACATGGTTTGTAACCAAATGACCAGTTTCCTGGTGCAAGGAGCCGATTTTACTACATTAAACATGAACAGGCATTTCAACATTCAGCTGCCCAAGATCTTCCATTAAGAGATCAGGTGTCAATATATTACATATATTCCTACTTTTAGATTGTATCATGAAAGTTAATAAGCAGTTTGTAAGACCTAAGTAACAAAGTTAAAAATCACAAACACAGGGCCGAGAAAAATATTCTTGATCACTGTATAAAGAGCAAAGAACAACTCCACATTACAGTGGTGCTCAAAAGATTCTTGGCAAGTTGCATGCCTTCTGTTTTCAAGACAGCATTTCATCTCCTTTCTTGCCTTGTGATCTAACTTGCCAGACATCCTGCGACAAATGAAAGGCCTGGAACTAACCCATACACAGCCTTAGAATGAAAACAATGCCCCCCCCCCCCCCCCCCCACCTCTCAAATTTTGCTATCCCTCCTTTGGCATTTAGTTCATGTTCTATTTAATAAAGTCCACCCCATCTGAACACCAAGCCAGAAGTCCAGGGAAAAGCATTTTCAGGATATGAAACAAAATTTTAAGCAGCACTCAAGTCTACCAGATTTCAACCTGTTGCTAAACTTTTGACTCTTGTACCAGAATAACAGTAAGATTTTAGAAGAATTCAGCTACAACATAGACAACTTTTCCTGCGTCTTTGGTATTTTACACTTCAATCTATGACTATAGATTGCATGACTATACCTCCTAGAGTAAAAATTTAAATAAATGTCAAAATTCATGTTAAAAAATATGTGCAGGGTTTAGTGAGAAACATGAATGTATTCTGAAAGTGTTCTCCTCTGTACCTGATTTATATGTAAGTGTACAGCTCTTCTAAACTAAGAACATAAAAAGGTATGCTGTATTGTTGACTACAGAATACTGCAAAGTTTTATTGCCATTTAAACAAAGAAGCCATAACAGTTAAATGAGCTCAGGCAATAGGTTTCAGCATCAAGAGGTGCCAGCTGTAAAGAGTTATGGCTAATTGAATATGGAACTCCTGCTTAATCAGATAACTGCTCTGCTATTTCCAAATGAAATGCCATTTCCATACTGTCTGAAAATGGCCTATTTTATTGGTAACCAGAGAAAACAATATAAACTGTAAATAACATTAAGTGCTCTGTTTACCCATTCCAGGCACTGAAGTAGCAGGGGATCCAGGGCGTCTTGGTAAAACATTTGACTGCAAGGATGGCACAACAGTTCTTTCTGGGGGTCCACTCAGAGCTGATGTCTCTCTCTGCAGATTAGGAGTTGCTGGAACCAGTGATTTTGGAGAGCCTTGTTTGGACGTTGCAGGTGAAGGCATAGAAGCATTTCTTTGAGCTGTGGTCCTCTGACGAATTTCTGACAAGAACAAAGAACAAGTGCATGCTGAATTTAACATCTAGCATTATAAGCAAGAAATTAGTAAAAATACATTAATACTGCTATTCCAATCAATAAATGACAGAGTCAAACAAAACCAGAAAGGTCTGTAACTAATGATCACCAGCTGCTTTGGCTGAGCATGCCATAGAAATAAACCCCACACAGAATACTGTATTTTAATAGCAATAATAATTAACTGTTAAATACTTAGGGCAAAATTCTTCTAGAAGAAAATTAGCAGATACCTACCTTACGATTCTGTTCTCTAAGGCAGAATGTTGGATATCTGAATAGCTAGATTCAAACAATGTGCAGACAGAACTGATGGCTGTTTTTACTCTATAGTCTAAACATGCTTCCAAGTATTTAGCTTTCTATGGGACCAAAACTATTCTGTCAATGTCTAAAACATCCAGGCTAAGTGCCCAGAGTTATTAAAAATTTTTCAGCTTGGATAAATTAAACTATTCTAAAGCCAGAAGAAAATGCAATTCTTCATTCACATCATATAGTTTTGTTCACTATTTTCAGCAACCCTACCAACAAGCCCCACACTTGGATTGTCACGAAGCAAGAACGGACTCTGGTGGAACATGTCCTTAGTTCTACCTCTCTTTACTCCACTATTGGAGTTACTATTAAATCGCTATTATGAAAAACTGAATAGGTTTCTTCAGTTCTTCTTACCTGAAGCCAGAGTTCTCATTACAGGAATATCATCCCAGTAATATATCAAGGTTTGGATATTGTATTCATGCAAACCTGGAGTTCCATTATATTTATACAAGAGTTTGTTCCCCAAGACAAGCCAGGAACAGTGCTCATGAACAGCAGTCGCTATCATCTATTTCTCATCCTGTCTACACCTAATCTCCTCTAGGGAGCCTTTGAAATACACTATTGCAACAAATCAAATTGAAATGTACCCCTCACTTTAGGACCATTAACATGGTTAACAGCCTAGTCTCTAAAAGGTAAGTCCCATGAATGCTTGCACCCAAGGCTACAGTACCCTACAGAGTTAGTGTCTAGCACCCACATCAGATTGAACAAGCTTGCTTGTCTTCCTTCACAACAAATGGAATTTAACATTAGAATTGGACTTTAAATTCATCTCCCTGAGTTTCAAGATCAGAGATATTTTATCTGCTGACTTTGTGTCAGGCTGGGAGAGTTTAAATCCTTAGCAGGCAGTTTACAGGTCCACTGGCAACCAGCCACAGGGAGATGGGTGTGCTGAAGTCTGAAGGAGTGATCCCTGTCCCCAAAAGTACAATATTACCACACTAAGCTTCTGTATGGGCTGGAGGAGGCAGGGAGTGTGCGACACCAGCTCACATTAGCTAAGAAAGAGTTGTTATCACTGAAGTCCTGGGTCAAACGTAAAAGTTCTGTTGGAAGATCGCCAACATCCGGTGCCACAGAATTGCAACATACATAGGCTATGTCCTTGCCTACTTATCTGTACATATAAATAGGATTCATATACACCAGAATAAGGAATAAAAGACTCTTCAGTATCATCAGTTAAAAAGACTACAACTGCACAAAGTCTTGCTAAAAATCCACCTAGTTCAGTTTCCCACAGAGCAGCACAAATTACCAGTTTTCCCCTGCCACACCTTCATGTGCATGATTGCATTGCCCCACACATCATCCAAGTTAGATCACCCAATGAGCATGAAGATTCTAAATTTTAACTCTGTTTTAGCAAGTGAAGTTTCCCCCCCCCCCCTATTTAAACTGTTCACAATCTGGAAACCAGGATATATCGGTGAGGCAGTTGCAGAAATTCCTTTAAGGTTTCCTTGGTGACTTGTTTCAATTTTGAAAACTGCTCCTCTGTCAGAAGTTTTACTTTAATCAAGAATTAATTTATGAAGAACCTCACCACTGACATTTCTTTGAGAGCTTTTTGTGAGAGACCTTAGTAGTAACCTTTCAAGTCTAACTACACTAGAATAATTGCATAATCTTCTCCATGCCATCTGACCAACAGGCATGACTCATCTACAAACAATATATTGACTGTCCCCCACGATCTATTTATCCATATGTTTAAGTTTGTGTAATAGTACTAGTTTCAAAAATCTAGCTAAAGATATGCAGTGTCTCAACACTTCTCAGCTCCACAAATCTTTAAAAAAGTGAGTGATAAATATGAAGCCTAACTCCACTTGTTCCAAGATAATTTTAAATATCTGTAAAAAGACATTTTAATCCACTGCTAAGATTTTCTTCATTCTTTTTCATTATAAAGCCTGCTTTATTATGGTTTTACATATAAAATCGTTAAAGATCATGACTATAATTTCTACATATGGATGTTACTTCTACATTTTTAAGGCTGTCTTTCTATATCATGTGGTTTAAGCATGTCAGTTCTGGTTACTTAACAGCTCCGAGTGTTTCGATAGGTCATGGATACATCCACATTTCTTCTGAGCCCATAATACAATATTCCTAAATAATTTCCATGCCACCTGCAAGAGCTTTGCCCATTTTGACCCTTTCTGAAGGGTCATTTTTGGCAAGCGTCCTTTAAGAAGACTTTCAATTTTTAAAAAGTTACTGCTACTTTAATGACTCTCTCCATATTTTTGCTCCTGTAAGGATGTTGAACCCAAGTACTTTACAGTCAGCATTAGAGATGTGCTTCAGTAGTTTTAATCTCGTTACAGAGGTAAGAATACAAGACTCATCACTAGTTTCCACAAAATGGTAACAGGTTATACACAAGGCTTATTTTTGTTTCCACACACACACTTAAAAGTTCATTTGGCTTTCGCTCTATTTTTATTTCATACTTAAGAGAACTTGTCAACACTCTGCTGCTCCCCAAGTAGGAGAAGTTACCAGAAGAACTTACATTATGAGAAATGCTCTCCTTGGTGAGATCAATAGCCCATCCATACCAATATTTCATCTCTTAGAGTGGTTGTAGATGTTATTTAATGACAACACACAAATCTGAATGATTTCTGTTGCCTACATCTCTGATACTACCCCCAGGATCCATAAACGCATTGTGAGGGATGTCAGAGAGTACAGCCCTATCTAATCGTTTTACTATCACATATGGACCCTGTTGCCCATGAACTCGTCTGATTTCTTTTAAACCTGCTGCCCACTTCGGCATTAACAGCCCTAATATTCTTCTGCAGTAACTGGATATGATCTATATACTTCTCAAATTGCTTTATGTTGAGATGCAATGTGTTAACAACAAGCCTCTTGCAAAGTTCCAGATTTCCATAACTCAAGTCCCACAAGTTAGCCGAGTAGCATGTCTGTCGGGTCTCAACACTAACGCAACATACAGCTACTGCTGATGTAGTTTTAATGAAGTTTTGCAATTTTCCACAAGTTTTTTTCTTCCCTGAATGATTTTTGTGCATCTGCAAACCAACTGTATGAAGACAGATAAATAAAAATAGAACTTTTATTCTTCAAGCACACCGGAGTCCAAACTCTGCAGTTACCAGCACTGAACAATATAGCTATATAAGCAGACATACTACTTAGGGCTACTACTCACCAACTGATGATTAAGTATGATCTCCTAAAGATCACTAAGATATTGCCAGTGGCAAGACAGCTGTATCTTTCACATTTACAAGCATAACTATTTTATTTCTCACTCACCTCAAAACTCCTTTATTTTTGTAGAGAAAAATACATCATTTTTAAAGAGCTAAAGCACAATGCACATAAATATATAGCTCACAACTTGTTGGCTTTAGTGGCAAAGACCAAACAAAAATTTTCCTCCTTCATGCCTGTACCCATAGCACATCTTGCAACCATCTGTTACTGCATTATTTTCAATTCAGGTCACAGAGTAATCTCATTTACAATACAGCCCTGCTAACAGTTGTATTGGCACAATGAAGGGAGCAGGTATCAACAACAGGATATTATTGATAAATATTTATTCCACTGCCAATATATCCGTACCCTATTTTTTTCATTCAAAGTACCGAATAACTATGTACTCATTAACACTACCCCTCAAAACATTTCTGAATAGATAAAATTGCACTTAAGTTTTCAAATTCCTTTTGTTCTGTGGATTTCCAGGTGCTTTCTTATGCCAAACTCAGCATTCATCTGAATCATGTGTTAAACTACAATTACTTAAGAAGTGCATGTCACAAATCACAAAAACTGCAAAAAGAGCTAAACGCATACGAAAAGTGGGGCATTACCAGCTGTTTATCTGAGAATCAACTATTATGTAATGCTGATTAAATCTTTGTACTAATTGGTATGACGCACAAGTTCCCATTTCAACTGGTAAGTCAAAAACATTCCAACTAACCTACCTAACATCAGCTACCTCGTACACAACATCGTCCAATCTGATTACACATTGGTCATTATTTACCCTCTTTTCAAAGAGACTCAGTTACAGAGCTCAAGATAATGAGTTCTGCTGCCTGGCTAGCTCGTGTCCAAAGTGAGGAAAGACAATATCAAGGAAGCCTTAATGTTAACTTGTTAACAGATACTTTATTATTCCCAATCACTACAATTCTACTACATATTGCATGCACCAAATTACACCACAACCACATTAAGGTGTCATCTAGTTACAGTAAATTATATACTGCCCAAAACAGAAGCTAATATTTGTTTGGGGCAGATATTATTTAGCATGAACAGCAATAAGCTAGTAGTTTTCTGACAGCTAAAAACTGGAGTAATTACTGCACATACAAAAAACAAGTTATTTAGAAAATAAGTCTCCATAATTTCACAAACTAAAGCCAAACACAGCTTGTTCCTCCTGAACTATAATGCACCTACAAAATACAATCTGAATATTCACTTTTACATGGACAAAAAGCAGCACCAATTCTAAATTCAATGTGTTATAGAACAGATTGGAAAAAGGGGAAAAAAAAGGAAGTTGTGCTCTGTATGAACAAAATTATACAGAATCATAGAATCATTTAGGTTGGAAAAGACCCTTGAGATAATCAAATCCAACCATAAACCATGATAACTCATAAAACTCATTTCCCAAAACCCTTTCCAAGGCTAAACTGCACTTTTATCCAGGATAAAGTAAATTGTTTATTTCAATGTGGATGTACCCAAAGAAGTTGAATATTGAAATAGAAGTGTATTTTACATACCTTTCTGGTTCACATCACAACAGTCTTCGAGAGCAGCACTTACATTCTTCTCAAATGAAAATAAACTGAAAGATGCCCTCCACCAGGTCCACGAGACCACTTCACAGCTAGCCCTACATAAAAAACCCTAAACATATATAGTGTGGGCAAACTCCTAGCAGCAACTGTTTCACTCTATGGACCTGCTATTATACCACACTTACTATTATTATTATCACAGCCCTTCTAATAACAGTCAAGTCCAAAATCAGCACAACACGCCATATGCTGGATCCAACTAACCTGCTTTTGACTGAGAACCCTGGATCAAAAGCACACACACTGCGCTTTGTAAACCCAAAGACACACAAGACCAACTAACAGAGACTGAGCAATTCACTTGTCACCATCACTACTTACACAGCCTGGGCAGAGCAGAAGAGAACAATCCTGTAACTCCTTAGACTTCCAAAAATGCTGGTGATATCTCTTAATAAAGCCAGGGTGACTTCTCATTGCCTATTTAATTTATAGCTAGTTATCTCCAAATCTCTACACAGAAACACACATTTCAAGACAGTTTCATCCCCTGGTTAGCATTACTTGCATTCTACAAACACATCTGGCACCCTAAGGCTGGAGTGATTTCTAACATACCTCAAGGACAAGGATGAATATAGAGAGTTAAGAGAAAAAAAAAGAAACAACCACAACACAGACTACCTAAACATTATAGGTATGACAGAAAATTCTTGGCAACCACCCGTTAGCTGTATTAAGGCAGAGAACAGAACAGGGTGTCAAATGGCTGCAGCCTTAAAAAACTATGAATGCTGGAGAAATGGCATGATGGGAGAGACAGGTAAGGAGCAAACTTGAGAAAAAGCTGTTGTGCCCAGGACACCGGAAGAGATAACAGCTATACTGCTAACATACTGCACTGCAACTATTCACTGTCAATGTCAACAAGTAAGGACAGGCTAAAAATATTTTCGTGACAATCTGAAGCTAAGCAAGAAGAACAAAACAGTGGATTTGACCATGCAGTTACAAACACCTCAGTTAGTAAATCTAGGTGCTCTACACCCAAAGCCTGCACTCCAAGAGCGAAAAATGAGACAAAAGTTTGGTTACTCAAAAGAATTAGACACAAAGTTGTCAATTCTAATATACGCTCTAAAGCAACCTATTTGATGGAAAATTATGCACATCAGATTCTGCAATTTATTTTGAGCACTAGCCCCTACAGGTTATAACAGCAAATTAGTACTCACACTCTGAGACAGATCTTTGTAGTATCTTCAGTATTATAACACAAAGTGCATTTATACTGTGCTAGTACTAGCATTTTCAGTTTAACTACAGCATATTACACTCAGCTTTAAGAAAAAACTTAACAGTAGTTTGTTCGCATAAATATCTTTCTTTAATTTATAGCCCACATTTTTAATGCAAATATTCTACTGGTAGAGTGGGGAGGCGAGATCTTTTCAGTTGTGTAACCTGTGTGTGCAATCTAGAAACAAGGCTTCCTTGAAACATATGCAAGCTTTTTCTATTTATTTTACTATTTTATTCAACAGCACCTTTCAATGGAACATCAAACTAGTAATGAACTGTCCACTTTTTGCATCTAGAAGAGTACAGATTTCTGCACTAGCTTTATGGAATATCTCCATCCACCATATAGAAGTAGTATAAGCACTGCATTAGGAAAAGGCCTTGGTAGCCAGAAATAGAAATAGAATGGAAAAGCTGTATCAATTAACATTACATAATATTTGAAAGCACTTTAGTATTCTAGAAAAATTGCAAGTATGCCACAAGAAGTTAATTTTCTCTCTACTTTAGCATCAAGCAGCATTAAACATCCTGCTCACTAGAAGAGCATCAGCCTTCAGTAACAGATCCTTCATCTGAAAAATACAGCACAGTAATGGGCATAGTCTAATAAACAGTCTATTAACCCTAAATAAAGGTCAATTGATCTACAAATTTTATCAGAGAGACTTCTAGAGTGGAAATTGCAATGAAAGACGAGTATCTATGCTAAAGAGCATCCATTTTACTTGGCTGTTACCTTGTCCAGGTCTTGGGGTTGCAGATGTTCCAGCAGATGGTAGTTCAGCCTCCTGCCAATTAATTACAAATAACATCATCTGAATGTTTGGCTCCATAGTACCTTTCACATTAAATTAGTATCAATACCAAGATTCTTACCTTTGCACTTGATTCTGGATCAAACCTTTCAAGGATTAATTTAGCATTCTTATAAGTTTCCTTCTCCATTACTTCCTCAAGCTGGAAACAAAAGTTTCCACACATCAATACAGCATTCTTTCAAGTATTTTGCCCCCATATCCTCCCATTTACAAGCAACTTCTTAATGTTACCAAAAGGTGAAGCTCAGTCCAATGAACTAGTGGCATGTTCAGATACCTGCGGATTTGCTGTATTGAATGGAAATGAAGTTTTGCTTTCAAAAATAGTCTCTAAACTCTAATGGGCTACTTGTATTTAACAGCTTTATTGCAAGGAAACACCAAATATTGCTAATTGTTTACATATAATGAGGAGAATAATTACATGCACCAACTTCAATAATGGAATGTGCAAAAATCTATCAGCCATCATTATTGGAAGTTATTAGACATGACAAGCGAATGACAGGCAATTCCTTAGATTTATTTCCTCATAGCACTTAATGCTATTAATTTAAGGAAGGTCGTTAGCCAAGTGCTTTACAGAATAAAGTCTCTGTGCCAATTAACTGCTGTCAGCATCGATTTTAGATTATTTATTAGCAGAAGCAATTAGCTTGCTGCAAATGCTGTGAAAACTCACTAACTAGAGAACAGCCATGGAATTTGCTCAAATGACTTTAAAGGCTGAATCTCCATCTTTACAGCGATTCAAACTGCTTTTCAGAAAAAAAAGAGAACATGTTAAGAATTTAAATAAAAAAATTTACTGAGAAATACGCATACTTTAGGGACTGTAATTAAAGCACTTCATTATTACAGCATTTTATTTACAACACACTCAAGTGGCTTTATAGCTAATACATGGGCTTAATTAAAAAAGTAATCACTAGTAAAATATCATTTTAGGGGTTAACAGCCAACATCAGAAGAAGCTTAACTTTAAAACGGAGATAGCAGAAGTTATGACAAATAGCTAATATGTATAGAAATTATAATGCATTTTACAGTATCTTAAGCAGACCTTTTCTCCTAGATATGCTGACTAATGGCCATGTTCGGCTAAAAGCAGGGGGTTTGTTTGGTCTTAAGTTTGCTGTTGGCATAAACTGCAAAACTGAAAAGGTCAGGGGTCAAAAAATTAAGTTCTCTCAAACTCATTTATCACTGCTAAAATAACAAATGGTGCAGGTTAGCATGACTCTTATGCCATTATTTAGCTAGTGAGAAACTAAAGTCTCAGCCATTCTGCGCATACAGACCTCGCAGCGGTTTTGTCTTTGGACAGAGCTCAGAATTACAAATAGACCTCAGAAGCTAAACAACATTCACTCCATTTAATGGATGTACGGTATCCATTTAACACTCACTCCTACACACACTACCAGAACTTTAAGGCAAGGAATACTATTCAGGCTGTTAATTAAGGACTGTTGAGACAAAAGGGAGTGAAGTAAAAATCAATTTCCTAAACTTGTATTTCAGAAGGACCTTGGATTTAACGCACTAACTTCGTAAAACAAATGCCACACAGTGCAGTAAGATCAGAATTAAGGGTCTAATAGGAAAAATAAAGTATTTATTGCTTATAAAAGTGAAAACCATAAGGCAGACCTTTATATGAAGGGGTAAGGTTAGCAAGGTGAAGCTGCAAAGCAGGGAAGCATTAACAGTCAGTGTCAATACCTGCCCCCCAAATCAAAATAAAAAACCCTGAGTCACTTTATATCAATGAACACATAATGCATGCAATTGTCTTTATAGCCACACAGGAAAACGAGAAATAACCTTCTGCAGGACAAAGTGACCTTTAGGAAGAAAAAAACCAGAATGCTCCACCATCACTTGACACTTTCCTTATCTAACACACTTCTCGCTATAGCGGTATTAGATAGGATGGTAGTTATTTGTGGATATGTAAGCTTTGCAAAACAGTAACATTACTTTGAAATGGAAAAATTTAGCTCTCATCACAAGATTCAGATGTCAAATTTATTCTTCTCATAGTTATTCAACCATTCAACAAGTTACTGTTCATATTTGAAACTCACATATAGCCTTATAATTCTAGTAAAGCCGAATCTGAACAAGAATTCATTTTCACAACTGACTGTCTACAAATTTCTTGAAAACTTATAGAAATTGTCAAGGTTTCTATAAGCACACTCACAGTTCTCATGGTTTCTCTCCTACAATACATTTTTCTAAAATCAATTGAAATTTGGCTGACAATACCAAATAAGGAATCAAAGAGCTAAAAGCTTATTTACTCTTTCAGCAAATTAGTCTAATTACTAGAAGCAACTAAGGGCCCGTGTAAAGTTTAAATACTATCTCTACATTTGCATAGCAGAAAAACTGGCTAGTGCACTGCCACAGCAAGCTTGTTTATAAATGCAAATCAACATACTGACTTCTGGGTTATTCACCATCCTGAAGCATAACCTTGGAAAGGTTAACCTAGTGCTGAGCACTGGCTTGCTAACACAGCAAATTGCTCGACACCTCCTGCTCTTTTTTTGTAATGTACTCTTCTCAGAGGTCCAAAACTTTTCCCACAAAACCATTTTCTTTCTGCCAAAGGCTAATTCATAGTCTATTATCATCAAGCTTAAATGCTGAGTAACCAGGATCACAAGTGAGGTCTCTATGAAAGTTAATACCAGCCTAATCATGAATTTTTCAAACTTATTTCACAGAATTAACCACATCTTAATAAAGAAGCATGGTCATATACCACATTTTCTCCTATGAATGATTGCATGGATGGCCTCCTTTCCAACTGGCAACCAAACAGAATTCCTGTGGCAACGACATCAGTTGCCTACATTGAAAACTAATACGTGTAATGTATTTTAAGCTTCTTGTAAATGCGATTTAGCAACTGCAAGTCTGAAGTACTGGCAAGGTACAAACGACTTACTCATCATACTACCACGTGAGTTCTTAAATTGAATTACTTGGTATGTCAAACCCAACTATGGAGAGGTATTTCTTTATGTTCACACAAAGCAACAAGATTCATTTCAGTCTACCACATAAGATATGCCAATACATGTAGCAAAAGTTTCCTTAAAATAGGAAATAAATCATTTAAGCCACAATGGTCAAGTGTACTCTGGATAGATCCATGCAAACAGTAAAACAACCAAAGTAACTGTTTTGTATGAACACTGCCTGAAAGAAATACCTCATTTGATCATTCATCAGTAAATATGATTTTTAACTGTATTTTGAGCTTCTAATTGCATGTTTGCAGTACTCCAGCATATATTGGGTAGACACAACTAAGCGTATACAACAGCGAACTCCTGGTAGAGTTTTTGTCACATACTGAAGGTTATCAAAATATCTAGAGTTTTCTATGCCTGGAAGGTTAAAGGAATAAAGTTCATTAAACAGTAGTTATTTTAAAGAACAAAATTCATATGCTGCTTTTTTTTTTCCCCGTTATTAACCCAACTTCAATGCAGCCTTGAAATCAGATTTCTTTTTCTTCTCTTGGAAAATTAACAGATGCAACTTTCTAAGTTCTTACCCGAAATGGTTAGGAAGTCTGTCCAAGTCTAACTTTACACTCAGCCTACTATAGCTGAGCAAACTTCAGCAAAGTTTAATTCTAACATCAGCAAAGTAATTACTATGCTATCTTCACAACTATGTCCTCAGGCTTAGAATTATCCCGTCTTTAAGACTGCTGCTCCAGGTAAAGTCTCCACTAATTCCCCCTTGTAGCAGCTTAATGCATGTCCTGTGCCCTTGCTTTAATATGCTTAACCCTCTGAACTTGCTCATCTATACCCATTCAGGCTTAAGGGCTGACATCCTCATTAACTGAGAACTTTAAGGCCAAAATTACAGCTACACAATCACAACACAACCAGAGCATCCTTTACGATCAAGAAAGGGAAGAAAAAGTTGTATCTTGAAGTAGTGCTGTTATTATAGCTAATGAACTTAATCCCTACCCCAATCCATAAAGAAACACTCAACATGTTTTTTCCTAGTGAAAACTTTTAAAAGTAGTGTAGAGAGTCAGTTCTGTGGAAAATAAGCATTACACAAACTTTGAGTCGAAGTACAGGATAGACAATATTAATGGACATTTCAGATGAAGTACCTGGATATTTGTGTTTGTCATGTATTTTACCGGCATAAATATCCATATGAATATGCCACTAAAGACGGAAGCCTTTTGAACAGAACTGAAGTTCTATTGAGCAGCTCATTGCACAGTCACCAGGGCATTTTATCTAGTAGATGAGGAGCTTACTCTGTTAAGGTACCCTTCAGAATGTAAGTAATGTCACTAGGGAAAAGGTGGACCCCATGCCTGTAAAACACGAGTACTGCAACGTTTTTCAAAAGGACAATTGTCTTCAATATAAGATTTCTCCAGCAATCGGGTAGCTGAGCTGCAATGAAGTAAAAAACCAGAGCTGTTGTGGCAGGCTGACAGTGCCTAGACAGCAATTTGCATTACAAATAAACAGGAAATACATAATTTACTTATCCAAGACGATTTGAGGATCACAGTGTAAATATCTTAGTAACTAATCCTATTTGCAAACTCAGTAGCAAATCAGAATCCAACAGGGGAAAAAAAAATCCTCTCTCTCTTTATTATTTTATTTGGTAAAGGTTGTTTTACTAAAAGTAGGTGTTGCTACAGTTATTCATAGGCACAGGTAATCCTAAAGAAGCTAATCCAAAACAAAACCAAATCTGAATATTATCAAAACCAAGTTATCACAGAATGCAATTTTGAGTGTTTTTATCTAAAATACAAAATATATTCTGTCTCATTACCTGCATCCACTTTGAGCTCATTTCAGCACACTAGGTTTCATGTATGATGAGCTAATTTTAATGCTTAATTGAATACCTTTAAATTATTATGAAAATCGTGAGTCAATCTTCTGAGTAAAAAATACCAACACCATGCTGATTCAAGAGGCTGCAATAAGTCTTCTGTTTCTGGTTCCTTGCTAGGAACCAGGCACCCACAAGATCAGGAGGCAATCATGGACTTTTTACCCCCCTCAGATTGAAAAATAGCTGAGTTATAGGTTATTGGACTTCCCAGAACTCTATTTTACTAGTCCTATTTATAAGTTGCTCTTCAATGATTAAAGCTTGACATGCATACATACTAATGGCAAGGTATATTTCCAGGTTTAAACTCTCCATAGTTACACTATAATTTTTATATTGTTCACAAAGTATTCATGCAGTTGTTTAATTTTTGACTACTGTCTGCTCTTGTACAATGTGTTGGTTTGATTTTTTGCATATGCAAATTACACATTTACATCTTGTTTCAACAGCATCAGTTCCAAAAAACTCTTCCCTTTATAAACCAGCTTTTTCCTAGTCTTTTATTCAATGCCTTTTCTCTAAAGAAGAGTTTCTCTCACACAAAAATTCAGCATTAGTAGTTCTTCTAAAATAAATATGAGTATTTTCATGATTACAGAAATGTGAACTGAAATGGAGGCTTTACATTCAAGACTCCAAAAGCTGTTTTGTTCTCCATTGTGCTTTTTCTGTTCTAAGAACTTTCCCTCCAAAGCTACCCAATGACTATGTAAATTGGAGAGATTAACTAGTTTCTGTTAAGCAGTTTTTGTAAAATAAAATTAAAAACATAGCTGTCAAGCTCACTTATTCTGTTCTCAGAAAATGCAAGCCTGTCCAACCCCTTTTTTATCACCTCTTCAACCAAGGGACACTTCCATTTAATAGATTCCTTAATATAAAGATTAGCGGATGTAAATATTAGCAAATCCTCTTTACCAAAGGACAATGACACAATTAGGTTACAGGTTATCATTTTTACATGTACATTTTAAAAGTGATAAAAAAAACAGAGTGGAAGATCAGTGAAATCTGTTTCCCCTGTAAAGGCCACACATATAATACCAGACTCTTACCTGACTTTTTTTGGTAGCTTTGTGTGGATTTTCTATTAATTCAGCACCGTGGCAAAATCCAGAAGATGAGGTGAACGCTTTGGGAAACTCATTAACAATAAAGCCTCATAATACAACTTCTAGAGTTTGGGGGGGAGAGGACGGGCTGTTTTGTTGGGGTTGGTTAGGGATTTTTTGTGTTTTGGTAGTGGTGGTTTTTAAGTTTTGCCTTGCAAGGCAGGAGATGAAGCCAACAACAGTAAACAGAGAATTTCCTTATGGAATGATTAAGTACAGAGGAAACAGCTTTCGGTGTTAAACTTCACAAAGAGTGCAAGTTATCCAGGACTTGGAATCTTTTCCATCCTAAATTTGTCTTACTGAGATTAAATGTTGACCCAGTTGAAGCAAATACCTGGCATACACCAGTTTTATACTGCTAACTCATCCACACAGCTCACAAAATAGATGACCTCAAGACAACTGATAGGATTGATACATGACAAGACAGATTTTTTTAGAGGAAAGAATGTAATGGAAGAAATATGTAGTACCAAAACAGGATGGAGGAGGATGGGAAATAGGTGGTGATGCATTTAAGGTATAAACAATAATCTGTTACTTGATGAAAAAGTGAATCCAGACAAGATGGAAATCCTTTTTGCTGTTTACGAGCAAGACATTAAGTGACAGAGTAACTATTAAAGATGCAGTTGCATTCTATGTTCTTAAATCGGTGCAACATCTAACTCTTTTTATGATCCTAAAGTAAAAGTAGTCATCAGCAATGAGTAGGTTAAAGCATACATTTTCAATTTCTGACAAAACGGAATCACTTTACATAGATCTAGCAACACTAAAACAGTAGGTTTAACTTAAACTACAAGGAGACAATTTATTCTCATATGCAAGCGGTCCTTTCTAATTTTGGGGTAAGGAAAGCCTTGTGTGGTACTAGAAAATGTATGAAAACAGAGGAATAGTAGTAGTTTCACCTCCCTCCCTCCACTCTTTATCTGTATATTACAATCAAACTCAACTTGTAGAGGTGCACAAACATTTTAGTGGACCATAACAACTAGCTTTTCTTGAAGTTTTACTTACTATTTTTTTCTTTTGGGATTTTAAATCTTCCAGGGCATCATCTAAAAGAAGGACATCACACATTAATTTTCAAATATAAGAGATAATTTCAGCACACTCTAAACATTGACTTGGCTCTGTGAGATCAGGAAAAATTATGCACTAACCACTACCAACCCTACAACATTAGTAAACTTTGCATAAAATAACTGAAGTTTTTATGTGAAACTAAATCATTTTAAATCCTGAAACTGCTTATAAATTATAGCCCACTGTTATCACTTTACAGTTATAACTATTAAAAAGTTTTATATACCATTTCCCCATTAAGCAAACCAATTCTAGCCAGTGCCCTGCTTTGACCTACATTAAAACTGGTACAACAACGGACCAAATACACTTAATCTCATGAGTCAAACTACAGAAAAAAAAAAGAGCTTGAGGTCTAAGAATTAATATATCTATTTGAGTACAAGATTTACTGGCTTCAGTATTTCACGTAAGCCTCTTAACACATGGTTAGTTTCAAATGCCGGGTCAATTCTGAGCTTCAAGTCTCAATCTGTTTCTCCCTTTCAATACTTTCGGACTACAGCAAAATCCCCAGTTTTGTAAGAAAAGCTACCAGGTCATTTTACTACTAAATGTTAAGAGGCTCTGTTACAACTTGTAGGCACAGCACCTAAACTCTCTAAAAGGAAGGGAAAGAAGAAAGGTTAAATGCACGTGGGATTTTTCTTTAAGTCAGTGCTTGCAGTTTGGCATTCATGGAAAACTCACTGTAATAAATCATCACCTAATATAGAAGATACTATCTTGATAAATCCATTTTCTATTACCTCCCTCACAGCAAGAAGAGTTTAACAAAAAACTACAACTTTTTCCCCTTCTCAGCTCTATTGGACACCAGCAGTTCACTTCCTGTAAGCTATTTTTACCCATTTTTCAGTTCTCAAAAAAAGGAAAAGCTTCATATAACTACAAGAAATAAAACCAAAACCTACCAAACTAAGCACATACTTTTGTATCGTTATTTATATATATATATATATTTAAGTATGCTATACACACTTTTTAAAGTTACTTCAGAAACACTGCTGTTACTTGAAATTAAGAGAACACATAATTACTTGGAAGTTTTCCAGAATGCAGAAACCCATTTTGATAAACCACTTTATTAAATGTACAAAATACTAAAACTGGGCATGTATGCGTTTGAAATTTTATGCAATTAAAGGGTAACTACAACAATCCCTTATTAGTTAAGACAAATAGGACATTGAACAAGACCATATATAGGACTGGGCTGGACCACAGAAGATGAACAATTCCAGGAATTGTGCATTTTCAAATTAATAAGGTACCTCCATCCACCAAATTTTACATTTATATTAGAACACAGCCTCTCGTGTAGCCCCGCACAGATTAACACCATGAAGTGTGCTGCAATGCAGTACGGTATCATGCAGCCAAACAAACCGCACAATACAGTCGGCTCTTAACTGTTACTCAAGAAACGGAAGCTGCTTTTGGTACAGAAATGCCTAGAACATCCTCAAGCATAGCCTCCCACAAAGCAATGCAATCAGTTTAAAACGTGGGCATTTGTTTCTGATCACTTTACCATGTTCAACAAGAACCTCATGAAACACCTGCACCTTCAATCGTGGCCAAATAGCAATTACTGCAAAGTACTCTCAAGAAACCAATATATCTCATCATAATTAAATGTACAGGAAAAAAATTCATACTAGTGAAGTCAATACCTGCAAGATACTTCATTTATTTTCCCCACACTCTGGGACAGATCAGCCTAAATCTTCCTCAACAGTTGTTTGCCTGACCAGTCTTAAAAACTGAAATTCCATAACCTTTCCACATCACCTTTCCTAGTGTTTCACTAGGAATTTTCCTCATTGAGCATGGTTCCCAGAACTGGTGTATGCTGGTTATCCAGCAAAGGGCTTTATAATATTAGATTATAATCTCCAGTGACTCAATGTGCTATAGTAACTTATTCCAGAATAAAAGGCTAGCTTTGAGCCACTCAGTTGCCAGTTTACTCTCTCAGCTATGTTTTCTCCTGCTTTACTGCTGTAACTCTTACATGGCACATTTGATTTTCTTTTCCAAATACAGGACTTTTATCTTTGAGGTAAAACATTTCATTTTTACCTGATCTCTGGAACAATGCAGAAATAATTCCTTTTGGCATGTTCTAACATCTACTAAAACCCTTTATGCACAGGTTCAACAAAAGCACTAACTTGCTTATATGCCAAAAACAGCAAAAGACATTTAAGCAAACTAGAAGAACATACATATTTTTTTTTCTTACCCAGCCATGAAATGCAAATATATATTCGCCTTATAAATGAATCACACGGCACTACAGAATATATGGACAATTTTATTTCTACATAAAAATGTATGTCCTATGCTTGCATATCAAATGCAAACATTAAGTTTAAAAAAATTCCAAAAGTGATGTTTAACTCATAAGCTGTCACAAATTAAATACATCATGTTGTTCTGCAAGTCATAAAACATAGTGCAACATTGATGTTTTCCTGTATTATTGCTCACATCACCATGAGATATTGTTACAGGTTGGACTGCTTTCAAAGAAAGTCTCAAATGAATTCTAACTACTGCAGACAAGTGCCGTAGATGCAGTTTAAGTTTTGCATTAGAATGAATCTGCATGTTCTTTAACAACTTGTTATATATGTTTGAACATCTGAATTACCTTTTTTTAGTCACGTGGCTTCCAATTTTCCTTAGCTCTCAAAACAGCACAAAAACACTTGCTTATCCTTTTTCCACTCAGGAAAACATAAGCATGCTTTGGAGAACTTGGAAGATAAAAGCTATCTTGACAAATAAATTAAATACATCTGCTGTAAATCTCTTCTCTTATGCATAAAGATAACCGATTAAGACTGCTGGAACACTTGCAAGATGCAAGTATTAAGGGATCTACTAGTATTGTTTATATTTCCTTTCCCTCACTCCTACTTCTACAATACATTTTATTCCATTACACTTTGAAGCATGCAAAGACAGGAGAAAGTTACCACGATTTTTTAAGTGAAGTTAAAGATTAAGCAGTTTCCTTCCCATTCTTCAAGAACTGTGTGGTAGAAACAACAGTTCAGCTAATGCTACCCATTTCAGCATCAACCAAAAGGCTGCTCTTTTCCTGGAAGCCAAATTATCCAAAGTATTTACATTTTCATAGCAAGCATCATCCCCAACTAGTTCCATATTCTAAAAAAAAAAAATGACAGAAACAATACTTACTATTCCTTTCTGTCCTTTTGGAAAAGAAAAAAATGAGCAGTGTTCTTATAAACCAGATTCTTTAAAACAGAAAGAAGAATTGTATTAATTAAAATAAAGTAACAATTTCTGAAGTCATTTAGCAAACAGGATAGTTAATGCAGAAGACTCAACAGATGAGACGTAACTTCACAAATACAAGAACAGAAATCTTCAAACAATATTTATACAGAAAACTAAAAATGAAATTAGTATCTTGTCAACAGGAAATCAACATTGATCTAAATAAAATCGTTCTGTCTATTGAAATTTAAGTATTACTATAGACAGAAATACTAAAGGAAGCAGCCGCAAGTAACATCATCACTTGCTAAAGTGTTCAGTGGGAACTTTTTAAAATCAACGTATGAGCAGCTAGCTGAAAATTACTTAGTCATCACTTCTTATTTCATAGATTTATGATGCATTTTATCCAGAAAACCAAGCTTACCAGCTAAGGCCCAAAATTAAGACCCAGGAGACTTGTGGGAAGAATTCAATACCAATGAAAACCATGAGATACAGCTATTGTACAAATGCTCTCCCAAGCAGAGTTAACTGACCTGACTCCTGGCAATTTTACAGAGCTCTGAATCCACTCCATTTCTGTAGAGTTTTAGCTGACTTAGCTCAAACAATAAGGCAGTTTATCTGCGCTCAAGATAAAGTTAGACTGATCTACGATCATTTTACATTTGAAAGGTCTCTCTGCAATCATCAGGACTTATTTGTTTTAAAGCTTAGAATTGCTTATAATTATTAAGTTGACACTTTTCCTGGCAAGTTATTTGGCCTAAGCCAAGGGGCAAATCTCATACTTCAAGCCTTTCCAAGCACCTTATCCAAACCCCTCCTAGTGCCAAGCACTATATAACAAAGCTTAAAGTAGCAATGTTTCATTTAAGAAAAAAATAATTCTTAAAGGCTAGAAAGGTTCTCTGAAAAACAGCTAGCAGAAGAAAGCTAACTAAAAGGCTAAAATTTCAAACAAACAGAGTTTCAACTCAATTCATAAGAACATCTTTTGCATTTATATAATGGCTGCCCAGTTCAAAATGCTATCAAGTATTAACAACACAACCTGAGCTAGGTAAGTTAGACAAGACAACTGGAACATGACAGTAAACTATTCAATGTCAGAGAAACGGAGAAAGAAGTTTAACTCTATTCCATGTTCAAAGGTGTGCTGCAACAACTGCTTTAAGAATATGGATGGCTTTGCCTGCTTACACGCAAGATGTGTCTCTTCATAAAGTATCAAAAGAAATAAGTGTTTTACAGCATTTGTATTGCCTTGAAGACTATGTTACACAGGCACAAGCTTTATTTCTTTTTTACTGTATGCTTAATAAAGTCTCATCTAGTTGTATTCTGGACTAATAGATACATGGTAGGACTTCACGAAATAAAAAACATTTCCTCTAAGAACTTGGAGGTGAAAGTTTAATAGCAGACCACTTCAGACAAATTTTACAAAATAAAAACATATTTCTCTGAAAATCAGAACATGCAAGATGAAAAAGAATCCAACTGCAATTATTACCATTTCAAGAGCGTCCTTCTAACATGCTAATATCTTTCATCAACTTTTCAGATATTTCAGTATACATTTAAAATTAATGATGCTGTATATTCCTAGAACTTAACTCACTCTACCAGCATCAGTAACTTGCTGAGGCCCTGAGGGAATGACCTAAGGCAGAAATAAGTTGGTGACTGACTGCAGGCTGGAAAAGGCAGACACATTCCAGTTTGATTAGGGATGAAAAATCTCTAGAGCTATTACTGGGTGGCACCAGGCATTCAGCACAGAGTCACCTCTTGACCGAGAACGAAGACAAGCTGGCAGTTGCTTGCCATTCATATCTGCCAAAAAAAGCTAAAGGGGAATAGCTTAAGAGAAAAATCAGATAAACAGTTGCAATTCATAAGAGAACAAGTCTAATTCTAAATGTTAGTAAGCCAATATCCAATTCAGAATTTTATAGAAACCCACTATTCAAAAAAAAAAACACAAACAAGAATTGGAGGACAAACTGGAGAATAAAAATCCAATGTGAAAATTCGCACCACAGCACTAGAAGCCATCACCTTCAGTTAATAAAATTTTTCATTTCTACACTTTGGTGTGTTAGGATTAGTGAAGAGAGGCTGGTAATACTTCCTCTTCTACACACCTTCCCTGGTAGCATGAGCAAGCCTTGCATACTAACACAGATTTTCAAATCCTTGTCCTTAAGAACAAAATCAATTCATATTGCTGCCAAAGATTCATTTGAGCTTTAATTTCTATATTAATCCTTTCCAGTCAAGACATTGCTGCCCATCTATCTTCTCCACAGGATTCCATAACAGCAGCACATTAGTACATTATGCATAACACAGTATGACATACAAAAAGCATCTTCAAGTATTTTGTTTGCATGTTATGTTATGCTGACCTACATTAATCAAACTTGCAAAGCATTAAATATTTACATTTGACTTTGACTTTCAAGTCTAAAGCTAGGGCACTGACAAGTCATGTTTTCATACAAAGATGCTGTATAAATATGGACAGTATTTACAATGTTCATTTCAGCAAATTAGTAAACGCACTGTGCTCCCCACCACTAGGAAAGACGCTCAATAGGCTGCTTCTCCTTGATGGTCTGGGGGAAGGGGAGGCAGGGAAGTAGCTGTTTAGTGAGGTGGGAGCCCACTTTTTTATTTTTAGAAAAGCAGTTTTCTTAGAAAACAAAAGCCATACATGAGGATGAGCAGCCAGTCAGCTCAATGAAACAAACAAGTAGATAATACTTTCTCCTATTTACATCCAGTGATGTTGGGATATTTTCTGGTTGAAGAAGAGAGTCAATGATTTTCCAGAACAGCTAATTACGTAAAACTAGTCATCAACATATTTAGGTTGATGACCTTTCAAGTCACTTCTGTGTTAACAGTCACCTAGTATGCAAGTTTCTCCGTTCATTCTTGTGTTTCTTCCCCAATTTTATACACTGCATTTTACATACAGGCAACATACCCTAGGTCACTTTCATATAGTAGCATTGCTTTTCCAAATAGAAGTAGAAATAAAGCCCAAGATAATCTTCTTCTGCTTATATTACATCACCTTGCAGCTGTTCAGATATAGGTCTCTCTCTAGCCCTAATATAATTTTGATAAGCCAAGTAACTTTAGATGCTAGCATCTTTTGATGGTAAGACTTAGTTCTACACTAAAGCCAGACCCATGAGAGACATTCCCCTCAAAGAAAGTGTCTGCCTAACTATTTGGATTTATTTTAAGAGAAAAAATTCAGCAAGTTATGACAACTCAAGGATTGTGAAAAGAAAACCCAAACCCCTGCTGAGATGTATTTTCCATCTCCTTTTATCAAAGAGACAGCAGTTAGAAAAAAAAAGGCGTATTTACTTACATCAATGGAAATGCAAAAAATGGAAGCGTCATAATCAACCTTGCTGTCCATTCATCAGGAAGACACCACAAATACACAATTAAGCAGGTGATAAGGTAAAGAAGTGAAGAGTAGAGAAGCAGCCTTCCAACCCATAATTTCTGTAGCCTTTGATTTTTTTCTCTAAATTCTTCTAATGTCTGTATTTCCTGTAAATAAACAGGGTTCAACCTTATTAGTGAAATTAGTTGGTGGTTTTACTAAGCTGCCTTTAAGTGTTTGCTAAAATTAGCCATATCAGTTTGATACTTGATTAGCAAAATCAAGCAGCTTTTTGAGAAATTACAGTATTTGCCCAAAGATAACTTTCATAGCATAAACACATCATACTATTAAGGTTATGATATGGGCCACTTGCAATGTATTAGCAGTAACACATTGCTATTGGGAAGAAATATTACAAATCAGCACTTTTTCCTATTTGTAATGCATTAGTATATTTGGGAGAAGTGGAAAATGCTAATATCTTATGAATAGCAGTCTTTATGATCACATAAATCACTACCATCCATACTTCACATCCTAAAACTTTCATGAAGCACCTGTGGAATTTCAAATGCTTCTAATACTTTTCTACTAACATGGAAAATTGCTGAAACCTCTCCATCATTTCACGTTTTCATTTCAGTGTTTTCCTCACATTAAGAGAGAAATCCTGAACACCTGAACGATGCTTTTGGCATATTAATAAAGTGATCCACCAATGCTCTGCTATGTTACCATTTTGACTGCATTTCAAGTGATGACAGGAGTACTCACACTCTCACATTAAAAGGAAAACAAAAAATATCAACAGCATATTTCAAAACAGTTACTTTCCCCATAGAGTACAGACATCTGTCACAAATTCTGGCTAAAATTCACAATTGATTACTGAACCATCTATTCAGTTATTCTGCCCCTGACCTTACTTACTACCACTACAGTTACAGGTCTTACACTCAAAACCATACATTGAAGCTTTTCTAATGAGCCTGATGAATGGAACTTTGCATTAGTGACATTTTCCACTACTTGGGAATTTAACCATCAGTTACAATAAAATTGTGTAATCAAGCCAACTTCACATTCATTCCCATTTCAGGCTCTCTAAATAAATATTTAAACTGTAGTTCTCACTATCTATTATACAGTATGGGGTTTTTTAAGTTACCAATATAAGGGGAAAAAAGGTAGCAGTCCATCTGAAACTCAGAATCTCTAGTACATCCAACTGCAATAATTATCAAAAAAATCTTAAATTCCATGACCTAATGTGAAAGAAATACATGGCCAGCAAAAAGGATGCATATCTTTAAAAAAAAAAAAAAAAAAATCGAACAAAACACCAGAAAGCAAATACATACCTTATCAATTTTTTCTAATAGTTCTACAGTGGAAGGCTTTGCCTGCTTACAAGGGAAAGAAAAAAAGATGTTAATCTCACTAAAAAAAAAAAAAAATCAGTATTCTGAGGATTACTGTACATTAACAGTTTTCTAACAAAAAGACATATTCATAATTATTTTCTATTTTACACAAAGGTAAGAAGTTTTCCTACTTTAATACTGACAAACAGAAGGGACTGCAATGAATCACTATTTTACAGTTGGTATTCCTGTTAACTGAAGGCTCCCTTCCTACATCACAAAAGATGAAAACCCATAATGCATGCACAGCAATAACAGACGTGTGGGTGGGAAGCAAAACAAGGAGAGAATTGATGAGTGGAGGGAATAGGCAAAACAAAGAGGATATATACATGGAGCCCTAACCTGAGAACTTCAGCTTTTTATTACTATTCATTCCACACACAGACACATGCTCTAAATAAATTATAAGCAACTGCAAATAAGTGTTATCATCTCCAGTAAAATTCCCCTTAGGAGCAACTTGGAATCCACCTTCCAGGAATCCTTCCTAATTTCTGAGAAGTATAAAGCCACTATCTTCCCCCACCCTTCAGGCCACAAATTCAAAAAACATAGCCCACACTGCATCACCATGAAAAGGAGCGAGTTTCTATTAACAAAACTGACAATTCACCTAAACCTTTGCCTTTGAAGGAGTTTTGTATGGGACACTCCGAAATCAACTGATAATATGCAAAGGCAAACATAGACTCAAACAACTCACACCTGCCAGAAGAGCAGTCAAAACCTCATGCCTCCTCCCCATAAACTCAGTACACCATTCAATAATATACAAGTCAATAAAACCAGTTAGGAATAAAGACTGTTATAGGTAGGACCCATAATATTTGTTAAAACAGACATAGAATGATATTCTGAATGTATCCATTTTGACCTAAAATAGCCACCAATCTTTCAAGTCACAAATGCTGCTGTCTCTACCCTGATGAAGCACCACAAAACTATTTAGATTTACAGAAAGTCAGTATTCTGAGGATTACTGTACATTAACAGTTTTCTAACAAAAAGACATATTCATAATTATTTTCTATTTTACACAAAGGTAAGAAGTTTTCCTACTTTAATACTGACAAACAGAAGGGACTGCAATGAATCACTATTTTACAGTTGGTATTCCTGTTAACTGAAGGCTCCCTTCCTACATCACAAAAGATGAAAACCCATAATGCATGCACAGCAATAACAGACGTGTGGGTGGGAAGCAAAACAAGGAGAGAATTGATGAGTGGAGGGAATAGGCAAAACAAAGAGGATATATACATGGAGCCCTAACCTGAGAACTTCAGCTTTTTATTACTATTCATTCCACACACAGACACATGCTCTAAATAAATTATAAGCAACTGCAAATAAGTGTTATCTCCAGTAAAATTCCCCTTAGGAGCAACTTGGAATCCACCTTCCAGGAATCCTTCCTAATTTCTGAGAAGTATAAAGCCACTATCTTCCCCCACCCTTCAGGCCACAAATTCAAAAAACATAGCCCACACTGCATCACCATGAAAAGGAGCGAGTTTCTATTAACAAAACTGACAATTCACCTAAACCTTTGCCTTTGAAGGAGTTTTGTATGGGACACTCCGAAATCAACTGATAATATGCAAAGGCAAACATAGACTCAAACAACTCACACCTGCCAGAAGAGCAGTCAAAACCTCATGCCTCCTCCCCATAAACTCAGTACACCATTCAATAATATACAAGTCAATAAAACCAGTTAGGAATAAAGACTGTTATAGGTAGGACCCATAATATTTGTTAAAACAGACATAGAATGATATTCTGAATGTATCCATTTTGACCTAAAATAGCCACCAATCTTTCAAGTCACAAATGCTGCTGTCTCTACCCTGATGAAGCACCACAAAACTATTTAGATTTACAGAAAGAGTTGAAACTGTCTTTTTATAAATTAACCAAACCAGGCCAGGCCTGGTACTGCAAAGGAAATGAAGGGCAGCCGCACAGTTTCACAGTTTAGGAATTTGGCAGAGAACATTTTTGGTCATTATGTCTCACTACTGGACTTGAGTGACATATTAATGGGAAAAGTTTAGCACTAACATTTGACCAGCATTAACAGTCAATCAATAGGCATTAAGAAATACATCCTATGTAATCCCATCTTCTAGACTAAAGATTATTATATTGTTACACAGTTTTACTTACCCTCCATCTTGAAATTAATCCACCCATCTTCTGCTGTAGACAACTGTTGGCAGAGCTATCAATCTTCTACAAGAATTCACAGCTAGAAGTGAAGCATTAAGCACTTAGGAGCAATCTAACAGCACAGTCCAAGATTCACTAATTTGTTCCAATATCTAAAGGAATCAAAATATTGCATAAGGCCATTCCCTAGTTATCTACCTATATGTTATTTTAAAATCTAGCTTTCTGTTTCGTAGTCCATCTTGCCAGTTGATCAGCCTTGGTGCGGCCAAACTTATTTTTACTTTGGAAATACTCATCCAGAGAGGAGCCCTCAAAGGTAGAAGCACAAGATAAGAGCTAAAAAAGCCACCAAAATCCCCCAGCAGAAAAAACAATTTTTAAAACTTATTAAGCAGGATTATTTAAGAAACTTATTTCCTCTGCTGTTCATAAGCATAACTCTCAATGTTCCTTTTCAGCTGTCACTCCAGGCATCCAGCATTAATATCCTACTATTACGTGAGAACATTCATCTCCAGTAAATCTACTTCCTTTTCATGTTCTCATCAAGAACATATTGGATAGCACTATTGTTATTGTTGTCTACCTTTCTATCATGTCAAATAATCAGTTTCAAAGGGATTTCACTTGCTCTAGGAAAGCACTACATTGGCAGGTCTTTCCTGCACACAACACATGGTGCAGTCCACCCGCACACCAAATGGCCCTAAAGCAATTCCAACAGTGCAAAAGTAGCTCACCTGACCCTGCACAAACCTGGAACCCATGAACAGCACGAATTTGATGACCTGGGTCTAGATTCCTGAAACAAAAGTGTAGCAACTTTCCATCAGCAGGTAGTTGGAATCAATTGACTTTTAACCTTAGGATAGCAGAATTTCTCTCCAGTCACTTAATTTACATGTTTTATACCCCATGAATGAAAAAGTGATCAGTTCACAGCAATCCCAGCAGCAAACTAATGCTCCATCCCAACTAGGGGCTCAAACCTTTTTAACTCTGGAATGAAACGGTAAGACTTATTAAAATAAAGCACTGATCTAGTTAGGCAGAAATATAAGTTATTATTATCTTGTTTATTAAGTTACCTTTGGACAAAAATTGAAAGACAAAGAAACCTAATCTCAATCCAAATTTGTTTCCAAATTGTCCAAACACATTAATATAATGTAGGCTACACATTGCTCACTAGCATGAACACTACTGTAGTACGGTAACCTCCTCACCTTTCAAGAAAGCCAAGGACTTCAGAATCCAGAACTACAGGCCCCGTGATTTCAAAAACCAATCCTTAAAGATAAGGAAAAACGTATTTGATAAGGAAATCCGTATTTGAAACGGTGCCAAAATGAAGCTAGAACAGATGGACAAGTTAGCTCTGCTGCTGCCAAATTACTAGCACAAAGGGGTGAGCTACAGAAAAAGTACAATTACCCCTTGGACTCTTGAGTAAATTCTCAAAATAATCACTACTACAGCAACACACCTCAGTAAAACAGCAGCAATATTTTTATTTTTCAAACACACAATCTAACACTAGGAATTTTATACAATTGTCACTTTGCAGTTACAGGCAACTTTTTGCATGACAGGTACTGCAGTAGACCTGAGCAGACTTTCTTCACAAATATTTCTACAGAGACAGATACTATCTTTATTGCAAAACACTACAGAAGTCATGTCAACTAGCCAACCAAGAAGTTTGTAAACTTAGCACAAGGTTCTCAAATCTAGTTTGCTTCGCTAGCATTGCCACTGCTGTTAGAAGCAACAGTAGCTCTCAGCTGTGGACACAGAGACACACATAGAGATGCTCACGCAGCCTTTTTATGTGCCATCTTCCTTCAGGCCATAGTTTGAAAACCTCTGCACTAGAAGTGTTAGAAGATCTTTTGGGCATAGGTTATCTATGAGCCACCAGCCTTTGTCAATAACACATTCACAGTGTTATCTCTACATATGTTTTTTGAAATGTCAAACCTGTTTTCAAACCTATGTAAAACACGTGTCACCATGCACGTAATTTTACTTTAACTATGATGCTGACAGGCCTTATGTATGCTGCTCTGCAAGTCAGTAATACTACCAAAACCCTTCCCCAATGAGGTATTAAGGGATTAGGGCCACTAGATTCACATTTACAGTTTAGTCACCAAATCCTCAGTTATGAGATAGAGAATTTTCTATGGTTTCTATAGAGTCCCCCAGATGTTCTCCTTCCCTCCCTTCTCTGCTTTTCGACATGACAACGCAAATTGTCAACTGCTTCAAACTCTCCTCATTCCTCCTCACCTGCCACTCCACATTCCTACCACTAATACCCTACTGTTCAAGGTAAGAGTCCTTCCACAAGCCTCCTTCCCATGCTCTAACCATCAAATTATTGCAAGGCACTTTTTCCTTCTGAAGACTGCATTTCTTTAGCACAGAGATATCCTTTCCACTCACTGAGCACTGCTGCAATTGGATTTGTTTCCACAAACATTATCACTGATCTAGTACACAAATAACATAGCTGCAACATTTCCTAACCTGAGGCTCAAAACAGACAACAGAAGCATTAAAAAAAACCCACTTAATGTAGAAGCTTAAAAAACACTATTACCAATTTTAATTTTTTTCAGAGTTGGGTAATAATTCCCTGATAGCATCTCCCCCAGAAATATGCAATTTAATTAGTAAAAAACAAAGCAAAAGAGCCACAGTAATAGTACCAGAGCAGAAAAATATTCTCTTTTGAAAGCGGGATGAATCATGCACAATTACAGAAATCATCCACCAACCCATTCATCCACATGGAGAAAATAGCGTGATGATCTCATTACACTTCTATCAAGTGAGTCTTAAATTTCTTCAAGCTTGTTGTTGTTTTAAGATCAAAAGCTCTCCAAAAAAAACCAAAGTCTCCAAAGTAAGTTTTAATAATTGACATGCTGAAATTCAAGACTGAATGACATTAAGACAAGTCACATTTAAAGAAAAAAGGAAGTTAGAAATTTGAAATCAAGGCTTTGCATACAGACATATAGACCTTTCCCCTGAAGGAAGGGGGAATGTTCTTTAAATGAGGGGGTTTGTAAACTTAGAGACTTCATTTTATGTAAATATTTTCAGGTATTTACCATTACAAAGAACACAAGTTCTACCTTTCAAATTGAATCTCCAGTTCTGCTCACAAAGTTTCCACCCAAAACTCGTATTCTCCCACAATTTACTGACCTCAGAAGCTCCCACAGTGACCATAAAAAGTTTCTCCAGCTATGAGCGCCATGGACAAGGGAACAAGCCCAACAGAACCAGGAGCATCACCCACCACCTACTGCTAGCCTGTCCTGGAACCTCTCAATTAAAATCAGATACTGAATTTTCTTCAATTTAAACTTCATTTTCAGCTGTTTCTGTTGGGAAGCATCCTACGGAGGTCCTGTGCTCGCCAAAGCCTTAATTGGAAAGGCAAATTAGTTCCCGCACCGAGACTCCAAGGCGATGGAGCAAGGAGCGGGGGTGGGGTGTCAGGCGCTGTTTTCGAAGCCCAGCCTTGTTTTGAAGCA